GTGGGCCTCTCACTGTTGCGGCCTCTCCTGTTGCGGAGCACAGGCTCCGGACGTGCAGGCTCAGCGGCCACGGCTCATGGGCCCAGCCGCTCCACAGCATGTGGGATCTTCCCGGACCGGGGCACGAACCCGTGTACCCTGCCCATTGGGCAGGCGGACTCCCAACCACTGTGCCACCAGGGAACCCCGGTCGGCCCTCTTAAGAAGCTGTCTCTTAAGCTTTTAATCTGTGGCTAACGTTTAAGATAGGAGGATTCTTATAAGATTCCAGATTACTATTTGTCTTTTTTCCTAGAAAATATATGTAACTGTGCTGGCAGCACGGAGCCTTCATTCACACAGAGGTGCTCCCGTGGACCACAGTCCTCCCCAGCCTCCTCCTCTAGGCGCCTGAGTTGTGAGACCCCCAGCGTTAGGTGTCAACACTGTGAACGAAACCCCTCAGAAAACATGGAGACCCTGGAGTCCGCACCCCCAGGCCCCTTGATGGGCTCCTTGTGGTTGGCCAAGCAGAGTGGAAGCTCTTCATGGTGCCTGTATTTTCACAGTCATTTCAGAGACTTGCTGCTGCGCTGGAGGGTGACTTTAGGGACTTGGGAGGGTCCCCAGGGGCGGGTGCCTGAGTCAGCCACAGGTGGGGCTGAGAGCCAGAGCTGCAGCAGGGAGAGTGTGGCTCACCCCTTCCTGCTCTCTGTGTTGGGGAGGATGGTAAAGTGGCCCACGTGCAACTAACTAGGGTTGGGGGCTCTTCCAGGAGGAGAATGACCATCGCCCAGAGCCTGGAGCATTCCTGGATCAAGGTGAGGCAGTGGGGCTGCCCCCACGTAGGCATGGCAGGTGTGAGCAGCCCCTGGCATGGGGGAGGGTCCCCAGGGGAGTGGACCCAGACGGTGTGGGGCGCGGGGTGTGCATGGACATGGTGTTGGAGCCATCTCACGGAGGCGCCGGCTGGAGTCCACAGCCCCTCTGCACGTAGCAGAGCTCCCTCCCCAGAACTTCCCAGAAAGGGGTCACCTCCAGGCCCGGGTTAGGGTTGGCAACCTCTGTAAAGAGCCAGAAAGCAAATGCTTTTGGCTCTGTGGTCTGTGGCACGGCCAGGTAGTCTGCCATCCATTCTCCGCTCGGCTGTCAGAGCGTGGAAGCACCAGGAGCATGTGTACGTGAATGGGCAGGGCTGAGTGTCGATGAAAAGCAAGCGGAGGGCCGGGCGTGGGCGGGGGAGTCTCCCCCTGCCGGCCCCCCAGTCCAAGGCGCCCTCCCCTCCCGCTGCAGGCGATCCGGCGGCGGAACGTGCGGCGGGAGGACAGTGGCCGCAAGCCAGAGCGGCGGCGCCTGAAGACGGCCCGCCTCAAGGAGTACACCATCAAGTCGCACTCGAGCATGCCCCCCAACAACACCTACGTCAACTTTGAGCGCTTCTCCAAGGTGCTGGAGGAGGTGGCGGTGGCTGAGGAGGGCCTGCGTGGGCTCGAGCACAGCCGGCGCCTGTTCCATGAGGACATCGAGGCGCTGACGGCAATCTACGAGGAGAAGGAGGCCTGGTACCGCGAGGAGAACGAGAGCATCGGCCAGGACCTGCGGCGGCTGCGCCAGGAGCTGCACAAGACGGAGGCGCTCCAGCGGCAGGCCCAGGAGGAGGCCAAGGGCGCCCTGCTGGGGGCCAGCGGGCTCAGGCGCCGCTTCAGCCGCCTCGAGAACCGCTACGAGGCGCTGGCCAAGCAGGTGGCCTCCGAGATGCTGTTCGTGCAGGATTTGGTGCGCGCCATGGAGCAGGAGAAGCTGCAGGGTGGGGAGTGCAGCCTCCGCTAGGGCTGCTCGGGGCACGGTGTATTGCACCCCGGGGGGAGCCCCCCGTCACCCTGGTGTGGCCCTGGATGCGCTCCACAGGGCCCAGGAGTCCACGGCTGAGGGGAGGGCTTTGGCCCGGCTCTGCACCGGGAGGATGTGGCTGATGTGGGCCTTCTCTGTGCAACCCGAGTCTTCGCCCCACAGGCCCCAGCTCAGCCCCTCCCTCCTGCAACTTGACTCTGGGGGCTTCCGGGGCAGCATCACCACAGGAACTCTGCAAGGGGTTGGCACCACCAAGGCAGCTCTGGCCGTGGTGGACACAGATGCCTCACATGTGGCAGGGTGTAGGGGTGGCAGCCTCCATGTGCAGGGCCTGGGTCAGCGGCTGCAGGCCCTCCATGTGGTCTGAGTGCATGGAGCCTTGGTGTGGGGACGGGGGTGTCTGAGTGCCCCGGGCTCGCCCCTGGGGCTCAGAATTGGAGGGGCCTCTGCTCGACACCCCAACTCCTCCTGTTCTGGAGATGGATGACTGCTCCTCCAGGGTCTGTGGTGGAGGTGGTCTCTGAGCCCAGCTCTTCAGATTCCCCCAGACCCTCGCAGGGCCCCCAGCCTGGGGCTGGGCACCAGGGCCAGAGCTGAGGAAATGACGCAGCCCTCGAGGAGATGTGGGTCTAGGGGTTGTATTGGGGGCAGTGTGTGGCAGGGCACAGCGCCTGGATGTAGTAAAGGAAACATCTGCAAAGCTGAGTCTCCACTCCCTCCCTGAGGCAGGCCCGCTGGGGGCCGGGAAGCGGGGAAGAGCTGTGGCCGCCTGGAGCCTCCCGCAGTGGGCAGGCTGTGGAACCATCCCCTCCTCTCCAGCTCCCTGTCAACGCACAGTGCTGACTCTTCGGTGGGGGTCCCACCCACTGCCCTGCCCCGTGTCACTCCCTCCCCCAGTGCTGCCTTCAGGACAGCACCTCTCAGGTGGGTCCCACGGAGTAGCTGCTGGAGGCCCGTGTTCCCAGCGTCCCCTCCCTGGAGAGCCCCAGGGCCCCTTACAAACTCCCCACCTCATGCTCCGTGCCACCCATTTGACTGACTCTGCTGGCCTGGTGTTTCCAGGGACCCCCTCTCCGGTGGATGTGGAGCCTTGGCGAGTGCTGGCCTGGACCACAGGGTTAAGAGGGTTTCAGCGGGCAGTGCTGCTGTGCGCCACTAGGTGCTGCCCTGGAGTGGGTTCTTGCGCCCCAGAGAGAGTGCCCTGAGAGCCAGGCTTTAGTAGAATGTGGGTCTCCAGCTGGTGGCCACTCTGAGCTCGGAGTTCTCTGCTGCTGGTTGTGTTAATTGAGGGACCCCTGTGCAGCCCCCCTTGGCCGGAGAGGAGTCCTCGGGACAGAGGCTAGCCCGGGCTGAGTGCAGGGAGGAGCTGGGCAGGCGGGTGGGTACTCCACCTGTGGCCCTGGCTGGGGCTCAGGGCCAGGACCCTGTGGGGCCGAGGAGGCCTTGGGACCTGGATGTGGGCTCGGCGTGGGTGGGAGTGGGCCCACTGTAAGCCCCTCGCGAGCTCACCTGCATGGCGCACACGCCTCTAAGTGTATGTGTGCTGCTCGGAGGCGTGTGTGTCAGCCTAGAAGAAGTGAAGCATGGCTTCCCTGGCGTTCTGCTCGTCTCTGCTCGGTCCCGGGCAGGGGCGGCCAGCCTTGGCAGTCATCTGGTGCCACAGCCTCTCCACCCTCTTGTGTCTCCCTCTCTCTCTCACTGCCTGCTCCCACAGCCCTGGGGGGCCTTGGAGGCTGCTCCGACCTTGGGGCTCAGGTGGACTGGGCCTCTTGTCGTTGCCGTGAGGTGGAGGCGTCCAGGCAGCTAGAGTGGGTTTGGAGGGGTTTCCTGTCCCTTGGCTCCTCCTGAGACGCTGCCGGATCACATGTGGGCTGCCCTGCGCCATGCTGGGCCCTCCCGGAGGAGATGTCCCTGCCGCTCCTGCCCCAACTCGCCTCGGCCTCTGGGTCTGGACTGTGGTTCCAAAGAGGGCCTTTCTGACCTCCTTCCTTCTTCGCAGCGGCCCGCTCGGCCTTCTGTTGCCTCATTCCATGCATCCCTCCCCGCACCGGTTTTTTAAAACTAAGTTTAGAAAAATTGAGATAAGGCTTACTGTGCAGTTGATCCCTTTTCATTTGTCTGTTTTTGACCAACAACTTCCACTTTTAAAATCTCAGTAAATTTCAGTTTGTTGAATGGTTGGACCCACTCAGGTTTCTCCAGTTGGTCTGTGATTCCTCCACAGCTGTCACCTGGTTATTAGGCCTTCAAGGCAGGGCTCTGAGCAGCAGATCCCCTGATGGTGCGTTGCAAAGCGCGGTGGGCCCGCCTCAGGAAAGGGGCACCCAGCATGGATAGTTGTATAACATTAGTAGGCCGTGGTCTGGGTTCCTCCGACGTGAAGGGAGGAGCTTCTGTGCAGTGCTAGAGGGTCTCCAGACCCCGAGGGGGTGAGCCGGAGGCTCCCTGAAGGCCTCAGGGGACCAGTGAATAGCATTCATCCAGCCATGATTTCCCCAGTCATGCCGCACTGTGGGCCCCACGTCAGGCCCTGGGAGTTGGCGGTAGGAGGCGGACATGATGGTCTGTCTCTATAGGGGCAGGGGCGGGGCCCTCACCCATCCAGCCTTTCTGATGGAGACTTCCAGGTAGAAACCACGATTCCCTTTGGACTCACACCTGCCCTTTCAGTATCCAAAGGACCTCTGTGCTGAGGGCAAATTCCCCAGTGTCTTCAGTGGGTAACGTGAGCAGGTGTCCTTGCTTTGGAGATTACCTCTGCCCCCTGACCCGGGTTATCTTGCTCAATGCAGCCTCGGCATCCTCAATCTGTCAGTTAAGAGCACAGGGAACCACTTTGTGGTCTTAAAGCACCTCCCAGTGTATCTGGCCCATGCAAGCACTTACAAATAGTGCTGTCTCTTTGTAGAGCCCCTGGGGCTGACGTGCTGTTATTAATCTTGTCTGTGGCAGGCAGGCCCCAGAGTGGCCCCCATGTAGCCCCACCTCCTGCTCCCCACCCCCTGGAGAGCAGGCCCGCCTCGTGGCAGGTTCTGACCAACAGAACTCTGGGAAGGTGATGGAGTCACGTCTGTGGTTAGGCTGCACAGCCTATGATTTCCATCTTGCCAGCTGACTCCCTTGCTGGCTTTGATGCAGTGAGCTGTCATGTTGGACAGGCCCACGTGGCAAGGAACGGCCAGCAAGCAGCGAAGCCCACCAACCACGTGAGGGGTCCTAACAGTGGGCCCCTGCCTAGTCGAGCCTTCAGATAAAACCCTGCCTGGACTGACACCTGGATTGCAGCCTCCTGAGGGACCCTGAGCACAGGACCCAGGTAAGCCAATCAAGACTCCTGACCCACAACTGTGAGATGATAACACGTATTGCTTTAAGGCACTAGGTTTGTGGTGCTTTGTTACACAGCAGTAGCTGAGTCATGCTGATGAAGGTGTGCTGCGTCCACTTACAGGTTCACCGAGCAATTCAACTCTCGCTTCTCCTCTTTTGGTACCCTGTCCCTCTGCCATGCCCTCAGCCCCTTTTCTTTTAGGGGTGTGATTGGGGGGGTGCATGTTAGCACCTTCTGCTCTGAGGAGAGTGGGCTCCCAGCAGGTCTGCAGAGCGAAGCCTCCCCACATTTGTGTTTTGTTTGTTTTTTAAAATATTTATTTGGTTGCACCAGGTCTTAGTTGCAGCACGTGGGCTCAGTTGCAGCACACAGGCTCCTTAGTTGTGGCATGCGAACTCTTAGTTGCATGCAGCATGCATGTGGGATCTAGTTCCCTGACCAGGGTTGAACCCGGGCCCCCTGGATTGGGAGGACGGAGTCCTATCCACTGCACCACCAGGGAAGTCCCCCCTGCATCTGGTTTTGCTCTTATGCAAAATAGAAATGTCTTCTTGACTGCTTCTTGAGACGGATGTGGGGGGAATGAACCGTGGGAGCCGTGAACCCTGTCCCTGCAGCTGGTGAGAGTCAGGCTGGACCTGCCCCGAGGTTCGCTTAGGGTTTGGCTGCCATGTGCATGAAGCTCGTTGCAAGGAAGGTGGTGAAAGCCCGTGTTTATCTCAGAGCAAAGCTTGCGCAGAGGATGGCGAGTGAGGGAGGCTGAGCTTCCACTGCCGGCTCCGCCCCGAAACTGTGGTGATCCCCCTCCCTGCCTGCCGCACAATGGTAGTGCCCCCCG